ATGAAAGAGAAACCTGTGCAATGCAAAATCTGCAAGGCAGAACTTGCCTTCCACACCAATTATTTTTAGTTAGCATATAGCTAAAATCTAACCATGGTTATATAATAGCAGCTGCATTCTGGCACGATAAGCTGTATGTTTATATTCAATTAACGTATGATCTGATTAGTCGACTAATCGAAAAAATAATCGGTGATTAATCGATTACAAAAAATAATCGTTTGTGGCAGCCCTCCTTCCCATTCATTTTCAAATATGTTTAATTTTGTCATCTTGTTACATTTTTATTTATTTTTTTACATTTGACATAAACCTGAACTTACTAACTTACAACATCCACTAACCAGCACAGCTCTGAGACTTCCTTCCTTCCTTGCCAGCTTAAGACAAAACAACGACACACCCATAGATCGTAAATACCTAGGCCTCCAATCAGTACCTGAAAGCTGAAGCCAGAACAGGACCAGCCTTCTCTGTGGATTGGTTCCAGTACAAGTTTTCAAATCCTGCCTGTCCTCTCCGTGTAAACACACAGAAGATAGCCCGAGTGAAATACTGTAAAAGGATTGCACGTCAAATAATTTTTTTCAGATGTCGACTCTTGTTGGGCACTTTCAAAACACTTCAATCTGGACTTTGCTATGATTAGTGAACATTTTTATTGCCACCAAAAAAAAACAACACAAGAAAATAGTCTAAATTAAAACTATTTATGCCACCTGTCAACAATATTACAAATCTGTCATATTTCCTGGGATGTGTATAATCCATACCCTGATGTTTTTGACTCCAGTGAGCTCACAGTTTCACTGTTGTGACTGCGTTTGCAGGACTGCACATTTTCATTTGTCACATGTCTGTATTTGCATGTGAATGAACCGGGCTGAATCCATAAACATCAGTTTGAATCCTAACCAGTCATTACAGGAAGAGCCACACCTATGCCTCCTGTCCCTCTTCCAACCCTCTGAAAGAAGAGCCTTCCTCTCAGCCCACGTGTAACAGAAAGGAGGGGGAGAAAAAATAAAACACTGCAATGCAAAAAAAAAACATGAATCTAATTATAATGCCTAATTCTAATTAGAGTTATCTCTACGAGAACCCCTTCACATTAGGAGTTTTTATTCTATGACATGCATGTAGCGGGGMTTTCTTTGCCTAATGATTACTTTAACCTCCTAAAAAAATCCTTAAAAGCCTTGAATAAAACTTAAATCAGTATGAACCTCTGGAGAAAATGCAAGACCTTTGTCTCTCATAAAAGGTGACTTTTTACTCTCATCAGTCAAAACTGCTGCAACGATAACCAATAAAACTGGAACGCACAGAAAAGAAATCAAACATTTAACACAGCGTAAAAAAAGTATTTACAGCTGAACAAACTCCACAAAAAGTGGAGTCTGTGTCAACAAAACAGGAGGAGTTGAACCTTCCCACTCACCAACTTTATTGCAGGGCTGTTCTCCTGGCTGCAATATAAATCATGYTATGCAGGTAACTTTATTTACTTTCAAACTAGGCCACTTAAAAATGAGGTGTAGTTACTACACAAAATCCAGTCATCTTATCAGGACATTATGTTGGGGAATATTTAAGCAGGGGCGTCCAGGAAAAGGAAGACATCAGTGAAATAAATGCCTTATCTTGAGAGAGATAACACATTCTTGTGCAGAAAAGGCTGAGTAGATTTGCCTGGAAAGATCAGTGAAATAAGGAGGCCTGGGTGGTCAGAGGTTACCTTCAGGCTCCACGACCTTCAAACTGACTTAAGTCCCCCTCTTCACACGTTTTATATCTAAAACTGAACATTTCCCCCCCACTAAAGCAGGCATATCCAATGTATCTGCACAGAAGTAGTTTAAAACCCACCTTTCTTTTACGTTTCAACTCGTCCGTCAAGTTCTTCCAGATATAATCGTCGAGTTGTTCGTTTCTCCGGGATCACCTGCGCTCCTCGAGCCGCCTTTTGTCGGAGCTCAGAGACACAAACAAAAACTTCAAGGAAACGAGTCTTTCCTTCGCAGGGTGCTGCTGGTGCTGGAGGGTCTTAAGTCCCCCCCTCTTTTTTTTCCCTTTTATCTTTACGTCCCAGAAACTTCAGCAGCGCGGCAATTTTTTTATTTGGTCTCCGTCACCTGCTCTACCCCCCCTCTCACTTCCGGTACTTTAGTTACCTGCGCGCGAGGCTCCGCGGGAGGAGGCGCAGGAAGGGCGCGGCACGAACACGCTCACAACAGCAGCTCTGCTCGGAGCTCTGACCCGACCTGAGGAGGGAGCTCTGGATCCGCCTCCACTTACCCCCCGTGTTGACCACCGACTGGGAGGAGCAGCCCCARTGGGAGAGGCACTCACTAACCGAAACGGAATAAAAAAAGAAATCATAATAATAAAAAAGAGATCAAAGATAAAAGCGTGAGTTGGAGGATTATGGTGAAAGTTAATTAAGAAAAGCAGAAAAATGTCAAAATGACCTTTGTTTTTCGGGCTTTTATTCGAATCTTCAAAGCTTTTCCTCCTTATGCATGCTGATAAAACAAGGACATGTTTTATGTTTTTATTTTGTAATGTGTTGTATGATGATTGACACAGTGGGAAGTCTGGTAAAAGAAAAAAAGAAAAGAAAGAAACTGAAGWGAAATGCAGTCAGTTGAGTGTAGGAGGGATTATCCCTGCCTGCAGGAACACCATAGCTTTTTGTTTTGGTTTCTCTTTTGTTGGTGTGTGTATTGGCACTCTGTGATATTCTATTATCTCAGGTCCAAACTGCATTATCTTTAAATTCAATTTTTATAAGGAGTTAAAATTTGCAACATGCATCATGACTTGTCACTAAATCCTTCCTTTTCACATTTAAATCATTCAGGGGTCTATACAAAGTGGAACAACAATCCTAATTTGGTTCGAATTCCTCATTATTGTAGCTCCACAAGCCCTTCTTTCACACAAGTTCTGAGGTGAGTGTGAGAGCGACTCGTTTAGGTGCTGTCTCTTTAAATGCAAATGAGGCACTTCACACTCCTCCCCCCTCCAGGTCTCATGCTGGTTGGAATTTGGGACATTTGAGTTGAAAATATCAGGAACGCCCCCTAATGTCATATTTTAGTTTAGTTTAGTTTAGTTTAGTTTAGTTTAGTTTAGTTTAGTTTAGTTTAGTTTAGTTTAGTTTAGTTTAGTAATTTCTTTAAAAACAACAGCAACATAAATTCAACAACAAACAAAAATATAAATTCTCTTAAACATGCATACTGATCTGGCATTTTTAATGTCATCTTCCAGATTACTCCATAATTTAATTCCCCGGAATGAAGTACTCCGTTCCTTTAAACTGGTTCTAACTTTAGGTCTCACAAACATCTCTATCCCMTTGAGATTATAACAACTCTCTCTTTTAATAAAGTGTAATTGGATGTTTGAAGGTAAATACCATCAAATCATTGAATTTCAATAACTTMAACTGATGGAACAATGAATTTGATGGGTGATAGTGATGCTTTCTGGTGATAATTCTTACAGTTCTTTTCTAAATAAAATTAAGATTTGTAATTGTTTTACATGTTTTTCCCCAAACATCAATACAGTAGATTAAGAGTGGAACAATTATTGCATTATATAATATAAACAGTGCTTTATCATTAAATAAATCCTTTATAAATTTTGCTGTTTTTGTTTTTAAATGATTTATATGAGGTCTCCATGTCAGCTTCTCGTCAATGACACCCAAAAACTTCACCTCACTGACTCTACAGATCTCAATACCATCAACTCTAAGAAGAACATCGACAGTTTTCTTTCTGTTACCGAATATCATATAATTAGTCTTATCTAAATTTAATGATAATTTACTGAGTCAGCAAGTCAGTAAAACATGACTATATACCCGACCATGCATGACATCATCATTTCAACATGGATGCTTCTCAGTTTTTAGCAGTTCTGTGTTGCTCATTTTACATTAAGACAGTTGTACTTGTACTTTATAGTGATTATAATGTGTTTTGACGCAGTTTGTACACTCAAAATGCCGCGTAGAGCACTAKTGTTGCATTATCCTCTAAGAGCAAGAAAAAAAAGTGTTTTTCTGACAATCTCTCAAGCTGGAAACTGGAACGCGTTCAACTCGGAACTGACATCGGTCTGAATTCACAATTTCTTGTTGTGTTGCAACTTGAAACTGGAACGCGGCATGACTCCCCATGATCATTGTCCACTCCATCCWGTTCGACCATTTTTTAGTTTCACAGCAGWGAWACGATTATCTAGTGGCGCAKAAACTTTTGATTTATAAATTAATTAAACGATGTCAACAACGGAGGACTCRTCCTCCCATCCTTACATGCTSTCTGACCCAGAGCGAGAGGAGAATGAAGATGATGAACCTGCAGAAACACACGTTCACAGCAATTGGTTCCACAGCAAATACTGGGAATGTTCAAAAACTATAATGGGGAATAGAGAAAGCTGAACAGACTGAAAATTTTGACCCAAACAGAAAATGTATACAGACTCCAAGTACACAAAATGTAGATTTTGCATATGTCGCATGATATGATCTCRCTTCACCCATGATATGTGGTGGGTCCTATTGTATGTCATCCATCATGGCAATGCTTTATTCTCCCAGTGACGTCAATGAAAAACACACCAAACAAAAGCTCAGGACTCAGGAGGATACTGGTCTGTTCAAGGGCAAATTTGTAAGGGTGAACACACCAGCCCCTCCTGACTACTCTGTAAGCCAACAAGAATTACTTTATCTCTGTGAAGGGGTTTGAGTTTTTCCTCGGGTTTTGTTGTTGGGGTGCAAACATGCTCAGTCTCCTGAATCAAATGGATCCTGGATGAGAAGCCAGAATAAATTGCTCTAAAGTCTCAAAAGCAGATATCAAGAGAGSAAAAACAACGAATGGTTATCTGACTGAATTTATTATAGGGGTCAAGCGACACTCGGCCATAAAAGCTTTGTGGGGTGGCTTTTGAGTACTTTCTGTGAGAGCTGCRGGGATCTGGAGCATTAGGAGAAAAATCAAAGACAAATTCTTTGCAGCTTGTTTCACTGGTACATTTTAATTCGAACTGTTCGAGGAGAAGTTGGTCAAGAGTCAGGAGATTTTTTTTTTCACGTTTGAGAAACAGTTGAAATGATGACTGAACACTTCAACACATTCGAATATAAAACTTATCTTTAAGAAAAAAAACCTTACAGTTTCTGAAGAAGCCATTTCTCGTGGACTGCTGACTTATCTTTGTCATGTCAATATTTATGCTCTAGAAATGTGTGTCCTGAGTGAGTTAAACTAGATCTGAGTCAGATTTATCTCACAATCGTTATTAAAATACTTTAAAAAAAATCACACACTCAACTTTATACCTCCAGCAACAAAAGTTGGTTTGGCTCAGGTTTGTGACACAAACTGCAGCACAGTTTGTCATCTGAACAGTCAAACGTAGATAAATTTCTTGCAAGACAGTGACATGTTAAAACAAGAAGTTCAGAGATATTTATCCTTGTTTRTCCTGTTCCTCGTTCACTGTTCAGGAACCTTCTCGAATCTTAGGTTGATCTGTTTGCACTTGGGAGAGCTGCAATAACTTTAAACGGAACTCGAGGCCAATTAAAGTCGCAAACAAATGACTCAATGAAAACGGCTGGAGAGGGGAAAAAAACGAGCAAAGATAAGAAATAACATTAAGAGAGCACTGCAGACACTGTGACAATTCAAATAAAGAAAAAATCCTTTCCTGTTTGCAGGCAAAACTGACACCAGCCTCAGTGCAGCGGCCGCCTCGAGGCAACATATGGTCACCATGCTGACAAAACTGCCTCTTGATTCGTTCAGCACCTGTCTACAACAATATACAATTGAATTTAAAATCTGAAATTATATATTTTTTTTTCCAGGAATCATATCTCACAGAAATCTTCCTTTATAAATAAGCATTAAGCTGCTGTTAGCGAATAAAGGTTTGTCTTCTAAACTTCAACACTGTCAAATTTTTATCAATTTACAATAAAATAAAACTGATTATTGCAATTGGAAAGATTTTCTAAAGTGTATGGGTTTGAACTGAAAGGTTTTGTTGCACCACAGTGTTTAAAATAAAGACATTTTGTCATCAAATAATGTCACTTAAATGGCTTATAGATCTTATCTTTTATTTGCTGAACTCCACAAATAGTTTAGTGATAGGTTATTTTTGTCTTTTGAACAACAATGGAGAAGTGATGGAGAGATAAGAAGCTTATGGAGATAATGTGACTCACTTCAATTTAGTAAGTTTTCCATTTCAGGTGTGGATGTTTTATGTTTTTTTGTTTGTTCCTTCTTTCTAATATTATTCATCGTTTATTTTACAACATGGTCAAGTCAGCTTTATTTATAAAGCACATTTAAAAACAACTGCCGTTGCCCAAAGTGCTTCACATATTGCAACTATTAAAACAAAGCATAAAAGACAAAACATAAATAATGATAAACCATAAAAACAGACCAAATACTTATTTGTAATTTTTTTAATGAAATTAATAAATACTATAAATAAAAATATGTCTTATATTCTAGATTCTTCAAAGTAGCCTCCTTTTGCTTTGATTACTGCTTTGCACACTCTTGGCATTCTCTTGATAAAAATGAACCAGAATGCTGAAATAAAAAAAAATCTATCAAAAGTAAAAAAAATAAATAAAAAACAAAAAATCAGCCAGAATGCTGGCAAAAGTCAAAATTCTGTTTTGAAAAGATGGAGCTTTCTCATCAGGCTCAACTTCAAAATCCAATGCGGATGCTTTTTTCATGCAAAGTGGTGCACTAACAAAAAAAAAGTAATTTTTGCTACAATGAGCCTCAGTTAAAATTTCATATATACTCCCGCACTTTGTGTAGATGTTGTCACTGTGTGTGAACGCATAAAACATGGATTTTTTTTAGTCTTTTTTTTTCTGCTGCTCTCTTTCCCATGGGGTCACCACAGCGATTGTTTTTACACTGGATGCCCTTTCTGACGCAACCCACACACCGCTGAGKGGAGCGTGGGGCTGCAGTCTGGGGTTGAGGGTCTTGCTCAAGAGTCAAAGGATGGAGGCAGGAATGGGTTCACCTTTCCCATCAAAAGTTAGTTGGGGTTGGGGGACTTGAACCAGCGATTTTAGGATCACATGGCTCACCTATCTAATCTCTGCACCACCACTGGTTAAACTCAGTATTGTGTGATTTACAGACCCWAGTTCCAAAATTAATGGAACACAACAGTAAATTKTTCTTCTCTTGGTTGGTTTTATCTATAAAATTRTAATYKTTCAGTGTG